ACCGGCTTCTACCCACCTGGCAGGACCTCCAGGACGTATGCAGGACACAGTGTAAAGTGTTTGGCTGGGCCCCTAAAAATGCAAGCTGTGAGTGACAGCTGTGGGGTCTGAAGGATATGGGTTCAGATCCCAGCTTCACCATCGTACTGGTGGCTGACTGTGAACAAAATCATTCACCCCACACTAAGGCCAGTTTGCACATCTGTAAGATGGGGATAATAACAACCTACTTCCTGGGTCTATTGAGTGCATTTCATCAGAGGGTGTATTTATGGGATATGTCCAGCATAATACCTGATCGAAAGTAAAAACTTAACAAAGGCCTTTGTTATTATTATCAACATCTTCAGTGGGGGAGGCTGCCTGGAAACAAAGGGACCAGCTTGTTTCTCTGCCACCGAAACTGTGGTTTAGCATCAGCATCGTCTTTAGTTTATTTCCTGACACTGTCTGTCCAGGGGCCCCTCTAATCTGTCGCCCCATTGTCAGTGATCACCAAGGAAAGCAGTACTGGCTTTCCAGCTTTAGCCAGTACTGCTTTCCTTGGTGATCACACTCAGCCTTATGGCCATCACCTCACTGTAGGGCAGGGGCCAGGCCAGCATGGACGCTGCGTTGTCCGGCACTGGACCACATCTGCGAGGCAGAATGGGAGAATGGAGTGAAGCCCAGCTAGGGCTCGGCTCAGTTTCCTCCCAAAGGAGGGGTCTCTTCCAGTTGCGCGAAGATTCATTCGGCCCGGCCCGCGCCTTGAGTTTAGAAGGAAAGGTTCTCTGTCCTCAGATTGTTAGTTCTGGGAGTCTCCCTTCTGTTGGCTGTCCGCCATAGTTCTTCTCACTGTCAGGTGATGAACCCCACCGTCAACACTCACCGCTTCCAGAACCTTCCCTTCCAGTCTCCATCCTCCCCACTCCAACCTACCTTTGTGCTTTTACACTTGTACCCATCTAGCTTACCCCCTCTACCATGCCATCACCCAGGGCAGCGCTTCTCAAACCATTCTGACCTCAACCCAAAGTTGAAAACATCTTACATCATGACGCTCAGACATGGATACACAAATAGTCACAACAAAGAGTTCCTGAAATCACAGCTGCCTTACGATGTACTCTGACATACACTATTTCCTTTTGTGAACATACTTGTGTTGACCCACTAAGTTGATTTCACCTCTGCTGTGCTCTTGACCAGCACTTTGAAAATCACTGCTAGGATTTAGCTGCATAAATGAGGTTCTCAGATGCACTTCCAGCAACAGCGGCACTTGGAGTTCATTAAAGATGCAGAATCCCAGGCCCCACCCAGGACCCACTGAACCCAGGAGATTCACGAGCACGTTCAGATTTGAAAAGCCCTGCTCCAGGAGCCAGGAAGCCACAGTTGTTAGAATCATATCTATTGAAATAAATGCCCAGGACTCCACTGAAAGTGAAAGACAGGAGCTTGAGCAGGGCCATGAACACTCGGAGCTCCCCAGGGCCCTTTGCCCTTGCGCACCCTGCCAGGGAGCTGCAGAGCGATGCTGCCCCGCCCCTCGGCCCAACATCTGAAAATGAGAGGTGGCGCTCACGTCTCTCCCTGTGGCTTAACCAGAGCTAGGAGCTTTGAAAATCAGTGCTGAAACACAAAGATGTCTCAATCCCTCTACATCTGATAGTGAGGAAGTTCACAGACCTTTTTCCCAGGGATAAGCTCCTGGAAAATGAAAAGACCCCAGACAAGGAACTAAGAGCCCTGGGTTGGGGCCCCTTCTGATATTTGGCTTTAAAGGCGACTCTTGTCTCAAGGAGTCTCAGTTTCTCTGTCATTGAGTGAGGCTGTGCTGGTAATCACTTCTAAACTGCCTCCTCTCGAAATCCCCTGAGTCGTCCCTTGAAGCGGCATCACCTCCTCCCAGGTGCACTCAGCCTGGTCCCAGAAGTGGTCATAGCGCCTGTACTGGCTTCCTGGCTCTGGACCCCGCCGGCCCCGCCCCGCCTCGGGCAGATCTGTTCTCTCTCCACTTGCACAGAGGACACACCGTGGTGAATCCCATCCCTCCGCCCAGCCCACCTCCTGTCACGTCACCAGACATCACAGTCGCCCTCGGAGTGCACTCCCCGCTGCCGACGCCCCTCTAGTCAGGCAAATAAACACAGGCAGGGAGCCCCATGGGGCCCTAGCTCTTGTGCTGTGCTGCACTGACTCACAAATCTAAATCAGATTTGTTCTGTTTGTTCACCTTCCTGCTGAGGCAAATCAGCCCTGGTGATTAGAACGGAAGCTGGAGGTGGAGGAGGGAATGGGGTGGGGGACGAGGAATAAATGTCAGAGAGATGCCCAGCAAGGGGAACCCAATTTCCAGCAATGCAAGAATCGGGCGGACACCGCCCCAGCCATCCGAAAGGTCAAACCCTCAGAAGGTGTCAGCAGTTTTCTTCTCTGGGATGTTGTTGACAGGAAAATGAGTCATTTAGTGTCCTCTATCTTTTAAGACTGTTAGATATTTGCTAAGGGCCAGAACCGTGTTGCCTGAATATTTTCAGAAGTAACTATGAGTCACGGAATCTACTATGAGAAATACAGAAGATGCTGCTGGTGCCTCGCCCAAGGCCCTTCGCTCTCCCCCCTCTACACCGTGTGTGCGGCCAAATGCTGCCCTTTACTCTGCGCCCGACTCAGCCAGTGAACAGGGCAGCTTGGAAAGCTGGGGACTCCACACCCCTGGAAGCAGTCTTCATCCCATCAGGATGAGAAATGAGTGGATAAAGACCCAGCTTCCTTACCCTGGGCTGGCATAACTCAGGGTGTGTTCTCCCTGTCCCCCAGAGGTCCCCGTTGGGATTGAGCTCCCATTGCCCACAGAGCTAACTGGCCTGAGGGAACACTCTTCTGAATTCCTTCTCTCCTCTGTGGAGTATTTCAGGTCTGGAGACCCTGAAGAGGCCCTGTTCTGGAGAGCTCTAACCCAAGGCAACAGGACTAGTACCTTAGGAGCTCTAGATAGGTCACATGACCCTGTGGCCTGAGCTGCGTGCGTAACCAGGGAACAGGCTGGCTCAAGAGGGGAGGAAGCTTCTGTCACTAGAAATGTGCATAAAGGGGGGCCCACAAAAGGGGGCTTCCAAGAATGAAAAGGCTCGCACAGTTGTATTCACTGAGGGTGTGACTAAAGTTTCCAGGCCCCCACTTCTGCCCCGTGTCACCCAGGAGTCTTGAGCTAGGCACAAAACAGGAGGCAGGAGGCTGAAAAGTACTTGACCTTGGGCAGAACAAATCTCCTGGGCCTTGGTTTCCTCATTTGGAACATGAGGTTACCTGAGGTGACATCTAGGGTCTCTACCAGCTTTGACATCCTGGGATCTGGTGAACCACTTGAGGGAGTGGTCTTTGAACGTGGTGGTGGCCTCGGGAACAATCCAGAGGGCGCTGTGGGACTGCAGAGAAGCCCCTCCCTCCCCGAGGCTCAGTGTGCTCAGCTGTCCTGAGGGGACTGGATTAGGTAACCTCTAAGGTCCTGTTCAGCAGCAACACCCAGGGTCTTCAGGTCTGACCCCAAGGTCCTGTTTTTCCTCGCCACCGTGGCTTGGGCTGGGAATGGAGCCCAGATCCTACCTTCTATGTAACCATTGCCAAATATCTCCCTGGAGCAGCCCTGAGCCCCAAGCTACCCGCCAGGGTTGGCCTCCGGACAAGATGAAACAATAGAGGTTCCTTACAGAAGAGCCCCCACCCTTCTGCCCACTTCCCTCTCCACTGCTGGGAGGCACCACAGCCTCCCCCACACTCTGGGCTTTGCTTCTGTCCATGCGTCCATGTCTTGGTCCCCACCTTCCCTCCGATCATGGAAAGACAGGCCCTGTTCCCCATTCAAAACATGCTAGGCAGCAGAGAACAAAGGCACAAGGGGGCAGCAGGGTCTTCCCAAGGACGGTGAAGTCCCACCCCACATTCTGCCCCATTCTGTCAGCGCCTCAGAAAGCACTTTGTGGCCAGGAAATCAGAAGGGCGTGAAATCAATACAGCAGTGTTCCAGCCGTGGGCCAGGCGAGCAGGAAGTGGGCCCGGTGCTTTACAACCCAGGCCGGACACGCCTTCCCACAGCTGCCAAGACCGGAACCCAGTCAAAGATCGCGCCCACCCCTCAGCTAGCTGCCTATCCCAGGATTCACACAGCTTAGGAAGTGCATTTAAAAATCTCTTAGAAGATCATCAGCAGGACCAAGATTTAGCCTTAATGTGGAGAGCCTGTGTGATCTCCGACACGTCGCTTAGCTTTCCTACCCCTCAGTTTTGCTGTTTGAAACACCCTCTCCATGGTTACGGGTTTCCTCAGGCAAGAGCAGTATTTAGAAACTGAAATGAAAGGATGTGGCCAATATATTTCCCATGGTTATTTTAGGGTAGAATTTTTTGTTTGTTTGATTTTATTGGGTGTTTTTTTATTGTTTTACAACCTACATTCTTTTTTAAAAAATTTTTATTTTTTCCACCACCATTTATCCCCCCTACACACTCTTCCACCTCTACCACCCCCCTCCCCGACAATCACCACAATTTTGGGGTGGATTTGATTGTTCTATATGTTCTTATGCTTCTCTGTCATTTCCCAATTTTTGATAATAAGCACATGCTACTTTTGTAACAATAAGAAGTAAATATAATTATTTAAAAGAGAGTTCTACATTCATCCAACTGTTCACTGTTTAGCCACATCTGGCTTCCTCATTGGCCATGTCCCCAACTTGTGGCCTTTAGATTGGAAGGGGCCCTACTGCCCATCGGGTCCCAGCCCGCATCTCCGCAGGAGGAGGCGGGCGCCTCACACTTGGTCGTGTATCTGTGCTCTCTGCAAGGAGAATCCACATTTACCTCCTCTGACTCCCTCACCGAGGAGCAGTTACAGAAAACCCAGCAAAGAAATAGCAAATGGAAGGACGCTAAACCCTGAGACAAGAAAAGTTTATCCATCACGTTTATAACCTTTAAAAACATCACCCTTTCTCCTCCTGTCTACTCACGGAGTCTTCCTGGCAGCTTGCAGATCCCCCCCTCACCCAGCAGGTCCACCTGAGCTTCACATCTGGCTTGGGCCTGGCTGCCTGGGGGTGGCGTGGCTGCCAGGGGGCTCACAGGAGAACCGGCCACTGCTCCCTCCTAGACAAGAAAAACCAGGGCGTCAAAGGTGAGCATCTTGGTGTAGGCTCAGTCGTCCTGAAAGGTATTAAAAATTTTGTTCCAAGGGAAAGAGCACCTATCTCCATGTCTACCATAAAAGTAGGAATCATGTATGTCTTCAGCTTGATACCGTTAACATCTTGTACATAGTGGGCACTTGACAAATTTCGTCTTTCCTATCCAAGTTTTCAGGCATGTGCCTAACCCCGTCAGAAGGCTGCCCTGCCAAGACTTGACTTGCAAGCTGGAGATCTGAGAGTCTAATGATACTCAGTGGGAACCTGAGGGGCCAGGATAAGTCAGACATAAGCAAACGAGTAAAAGGTGTTTAAAAGAGAAAAAGAAAAGACAAAGTTCTGACCCCCAAAGTCCCATGATCAGCCTAGCCCTCAGAGTTCATTCACCAGGGTGCAGGGATGGAAAAAGTGAAAGGATTTGGTAGAAACAGGAGGACCCTGGGGGCTCACCCCCAGTCACAGGCTGCTATATCCGTAAAAAGTGAAAGTGAAAGCAGCCCCAGCCAGAGTCTTTGGCTCACTCTAGGATCTGCAAGAGTGTTACATTCATTCCTTGGTGTCTGAGGAGGTCAGTCTGCAGTAAAAGACTGCCAAGTAAAAGACCACAGTCAAGGCCAGCAAAGCAAACTCCAGAAGCCTTGGTCACTGCACGAGAGGATTCCACGCCTTTTGGGGTAGTTCCCACTTTATTTCTGGTTGCTCCCCACCCTGCCCCACTTGGTGCTGTTTCCCAGGTAACCCAGCCTCAGAGGCAGTGGGGGGCTTGCCAAGCTGGAGGAGAGACTCAAGGCCTGGGACTGGCTTTGGACTTCCAGGAAGATCCTAGTCTTCTCCACCCTCTTCCAAGCAAGAGGAAGGGGAATCCCAGGGCTGGGACTGCCTGCCTGGGAAAGACCAGCCAGGGAGCTGTGAGTTAGAGCTCTGGGTTTCGGCATGAAGGCCAGGGGAGGAGTGTGATAAAATACATATAGTATGGATCTTGGGGAGAGCAGGGTAGAGAAAGACTGCGGCGGGGGGCGGGGGGGGGGCCAGGAGGATCCCAGGGAAATATGGCAAATGGAGAGGGATTGCTAAAGAAAGAGAGGGGCTCTTGTGTGGCAGTTGTGCGTGCCAGCTGTGAAGGTCTGGCTTGTGCAGAAACTTCCAGGGACTTCGCATCTGGTTGATGTAGAGGTGAGGAGAAGGACAGAGAGCGCAGCACACAGGAATTTCAAGAAGAGAGAGTGAGGGGCTGGAGGTGAGTGCTCAGAGGGGAGTGAGGGGCGTTAAGGGATGGATGGTGAGGCTGGGGAAAGTGTTGGAAAGTGAGATCCCAGCCCAGGAAAAAAAAAAGTCTGCTACAATGAGTATGGAAAATGAGGCGGTGGAGAAGGGGTGGGGGCAGGTGGCTCCGCTGTGGGGTTCAGCTGCCAGGCTCTTACCTGCATTACAGGTGGAGGTGAGGGAGCCACCCGGCTGTCCCGTCGTGAGTGCTCCAAAGCCTGCTCGCTGCTGAGTCCTAGGCCAGCGCTTCCAGACCCTCCCTTCCCAAACGCCTAACTCGGCCTGGGGAACAAGTTTCTCGTGGGAGGAATCTCTTTCAAGACGTGCCGGGTAGCGTGCGCTCAGTTCCCCGGACGAGCAGGCGGGCAGGGCGCTCCGGTAATCGCTATCCTTCCGGGAAACGAAAATGAAAGAGCGGGATCCGGCTTCCACTCCCACCCCGGCGGGCTTGTGGGAGGGCAGGGGCCGGGCCCTGCGGGAGCGGAGCCCCGGGGCGCCGGGGCGCCGTGGCTCACGTCCTCCTGCCCGGTGGACAGCTCCTCCGGCAGCCTGGCCCTGGCTTCCAGGGAGATGAAGGTGGGATTCTACCAGATCTGGGGAGCTGAGGGAACTCCTGGGCCAGGGCTCAGGACCACGACAGACCAACCTCATGCCGCCTTTGTGCGTCCCCGCAGATGGACAGGAGGGGCCCCCCTCATGCTGTCCATCTGGACCAGCTGCCTGACCTTAAGGGTGGGTGACCTTTGTCCACATGCCATTTGGCTGGGTACAGGCCCCAAGGCCCTGAGCCTGGGAGCCTCCAACAGCGCTGGCGTGGTGCTCCTCTTGACCTAAACCCTGGTACTCAGTGGATCCCGACTGGCACCTTTGCCAGGCCCATGGCCGCCCCAGGCGTAGTGCCCAGCTGCTCATTACCGTGTGCGCCTGCCTCAGCTCCCTCTGTCTTGACAGGAAACAGAGAGGCTGTAAGCTCCAAACCAACATAGCCACAGAAGAAAAGGAGGGAAGAAGCCCTAATAACCCTCCATGGAAAGGTTGAGGGTGTAGCTACTGTTATTAATATAAAGAAGGCTTAGCACTGATGTATCATGAGCTCCTAGAAAGCAATAGGAACAAGGCCAGAAATACAACAGAAAAATGAGCAAAGGATATAAATAGGCAATCCACGTAAAACAACATGCCCAGTGGTCCCTAAACTTAGAAAAAGATGCTTAGACTCGCTCATTGTAAAAGCCATGCAAATCAAAGTTATTCTGAGATATAATTTTTTACCCATTAATTTAACAAAAATTCAAAAGTTTAATAATATAATCTGTTGGAGAGGCTGAGAGCACTTTACTGAGCATAGGAAGTGGTATGACCCCATGGGGGACAGCACGGCAGGATCAAGCAAAGTTACAAATGCATTTACCCTTCATCCAGCGTTACCACCAACGGTAGTATTACACACTATCTTTTCTGTGTGTGTATACATATTTGTACAAAGACACTTCTGGTAGGATGTATAATAAGTGACATAAATGGGATTCAAGATAGAAAATAAGAGCAAGGGTTTTCTTTGCAAAATTTTTAATAATTTTTTGATGTCATGTGATTAAATATATATTCAAAAGGAAGATGGGAGAGAAGAGAAAAAGAAAAGAAAAGAAGAAAAGGAAAGGGAGGGAGGGGAAGAGAGTGAGAGAAAGAACGAAAGAACAGGAAAAAGAAAGAGAGAAAGAAAGGAAAGGAAGGAAGGAAGAAAAAGAAAGAAAGAAAGAGAGAAAGAGAGAAAGGAAGGAAGGAAGGAAGGAAGGAAGGAAGGAAGGAAGGAAGGAAGGAAGGAAAAGAGAGGTTCTGGCCAGGCAGCTCAATTGGCTAGAGCAGTGTCTCAATATGCCAAGGTTGCAAGTTCAATTCCCAGTCAGGGCACATGCAAGAATCAACCAATGAATGCATCAATAAGTGGAATAATAAGTCAATGTTTCTCCCCCCACCCTTCTCTCTCTCTCTCTCAAATCAGTAAACTTTGCTTAAAAATTTTTTTAAAAGAGGCCCTGGTTGGCGTAGCTCAGTGGATTGAGCATGGGCTGTGAACCAAAGTGTTGCTGGTTCGATTCCCAGTCAGGGTACATGCCTGGGTTGCCGGCCATGACCCCCAGCAAATGCACACTGATGTTTCTCTCTCTCTCTCTTTCTCCCTCCCTTCCCTCTCTAAAAATAAATAAATAAAATCTTTAAAAAAGAAAAGAAGAGAGATTGTTTTTTAAAAAAAAATTTTAAAAAGAAAGAATAGTTTTAAGGATCTGTTTCATGTCAGCAAGCCAAAACTTGGGAGGTGACGGAAATAAGGAGGTGTTGTGTGAGGCCGACTAAAGAAATGGGGATGTTTCCCTTTGGAAGGACAAAGGCGATGCTACGTACCCCGTAAGTCTATGACATTGTGAACCCACATGAGCAGGAGTAAGTGGAATCCCTCCTTCACAAAAGAAATATGCATAGGTTTTCATGCTCAATAAAATAATGGTTTATTTTTAAATAACACTTTTCTCACAAAGAACTCAAACATATATAGAACTTATAAATTATAACGACAAACTTTCTTAATACCTGTAATACTTCTACAAGGAGGGAGAGAGGGAACATGAGGTAGACAGGAAGGAAGAAGAATGGGGCACCTCCGATCTGGACTGAGCACTGAGAGCAGGGCGGCGGGTGCCTGGGGGCCGGGGGGCGCCCAGGAGAACACACCCATTTCTGTGTTCTCTGGTTTGAGGATGAGGTGCAGTTTCCCTCCGGGAAGGAAATATTCAAGATTTCCTCACAAGGAGCACTGAGACCATCCACAGCACCTCCTAAGTGCGCCTTGGGCCCTACCACCAGGCAATCACTGACATCTCATAGCCAGTCTCCCTGAACAGACATAGATGGTCAGTGAGTCCACAGTTCTCTAAGGAACCAGGCATAAACCAACAGTGGCGGGTAAAAAGAGAGGGAGACGGGGCAGGGTCTTCTTCCCATCTGTGCTGGTGGAATTCGTGTTTCTCAGAGGGTAGAAGGAAAACAGAACTTGACGTGCATTCCTTTTACATCAAACGGTGGTTCCGGAGAAAGCGCAGCAACGCGTGAGCTCCTCCGAAGAGAACTAGGGCAAAATGAGCCAGTGCATCTCTGCCTTCCCATCGAAGATCCTGTTCAAAAAGAGAGAGACAGGGTTGTTGTTGTTGTTGTTGTTTTTAAAAAATGCAGTAGATTAATCCAAAGTAGAAATTCAGGAATAATTCAATTGATGCCCCCAAACAATCTTCTTGGGCTGCTTTATGAACTGTCTCAACTGAAGGGGAGTATCTCCGTCTGTTTAGTCACTTCCATACCCTCTGCACTGCCTTGGGAAGTTTCTCTCTGGATGTGTTTTCCCATCTCAACTGTCAGCAAATGGGGACCCTCTTTTCAGGGCTAATGACCACTTTCTCCAGCCTCCTTGAGGCACTTTCTTAGCCTTGTCAAAGAAGCAAAGAAGTTAGCTTTAGCGTTGGAAGAACTGAGGAGACTTAGGTGGGTGGAGAGGGGAGTGAACAGGAGCAAAGTTGGAGGTGAGAAAGCACAGCAAGTTTGTGGAGCCATAAGTAAATCCCACTATTTATACGGCAGCATCTGGAGAAGGAGCCTGAGGGTCCTTTGCAAAGGCCTCTCCCAGTCCCGACCCCTCCTCCCACAGTCTATTCTCAACAGGGCAGCCTCAGGAGACTGTTGAAATGCGGCTTCCTCTGCTCACTGCTCTCCAGTGGCTCGGCCTCACTCAGAAGTCCTCGTGGTGACCTAAAGGCGCTACCTGATCTACCGCCAACCCACCCGTCCGCCCACATCTTTTACTACCTTCTCCCCTACTCAGCTTCAGCCACGCTGGCCTCCTGGCTGTTCCTCAAACCTGCCCGTCTCCACTGCTTTCCCCAGAAATCCCCGACTCCCTCTCACGCTGTGTCAGGGTTTGCTCAGAAGCCACCTCCTCAGCAAAGGCATCCCTTAAACTCCTCTACTCAAAATTGCAAATCCTCAACCTTCCTCATGCCTTTCCTTGCTTTATTTTTCTCCAGAATATTTATGATTGTCTGATAAATTATATACATATTTACTCATTTGTCACTTGTCTCCCTTTTAGAATATAAACTTCATGAGATCAGGAGTTTTGTCCCTTCTGGTCACTGCCATGTCCAGTGCCGGCCAGAGCCTGACACACGCCAGGTACTCAGTAAGCACTAGCCGAATAAGTGAATGAATGATGAATCATTAGCAGCAGGTTAAGGAATTTAGATTCTGTCTTGTCAGTAACTGGGAATCACTAAAATTTTTTTTCCTTTTATAATTGATATCAGTTAGGAAAACCGAATGAATTTCCTTCCAGCAAGGCAGACAAGAAAATGAGCATGGAGTCAGATGCTCATAAACTCCAGTTTATATCCAGATGCACATTTAAACTCCAGTTTTGTCACTTAGCTGCTGAGTGACCTGGGATAGGTTACTGAATCCCTCTGAACCTCAATGCTTGTCCTGAAATACTTGTACCACTAATTAATAGGGTTACTGGGAGAATTAAGTTAAAGGGAAAGTTCTGTTTTCCTTCTACCCTCTGAGAGTGTTTTCAAAGAGTACCTGGAAGAAATTATTTAATAAACATTAGTTTCTCTCCCCTCTTTCTAACAAACTAAGAAGTTCCCTATGTGTCGCTGTATTAGTTGGCCCCAAAGAAAACAGACGGCACACTTAAATTAGGGAAATTCAGGGACAGCCCAATAAAGAGACTATCAACAAAGTGGGGAGGGGACCACAGCAGGTGGTACAGTACCAGGGAGGGTGACCACAGAACTGTTGCCACTCCTAGCCCTGTAGGGACAGGAAGGGGGCAGCTTCTGGAACCCAAAGGGAAAGAGTCCTTCCTGCAGAGGAAACGTTCAAAGACACACTTAAGATCCTCAATGTGATGGGAAGACATACTTTATATCTAGGAAAATTACATGCCCTGGACTTTTTAAAAAAAGATGAGATCCTTGAATTAAAACCCTATATAACTAAATACCAAAACAGATATTGTTTTGAGAATCAGGCCTATTTGAAAAAACAGAATCCTTGCCTAAGTGAAGAAAACAAGAAAGCAGATGTGTGGCAGCTCAAGGGCAACTGGTTCAGCCGACAAAAACACCTGGTGAGCCTCTTGCCAGCGTGGTTCAAGAACAAAACTGAAAGTTTGCTTCAATGTATCAAAAGCAGGGAGGGATCTGAAGAATCAGTGCGACCACTTGCTTAAACAGAGTTCAAAAGGTGAGTAAATGATGAGTCTACAGAAAAGAAATGCGCCATGCCGGATCTGAAATTCTGTTAAAGCTGCTTGACTTAAGCCTTGAAGCAGCAGAGTGAAGCTTTCAGCATTTTAGAGCCAGACTTAGGAGAAACTTGTAAAATTATTTTTTAAAATATGATGTGGTCTATTTAAAAATGTTCTAAAGGGCAATTTTGTGGAACTGGACAAGATGCCTTTAAAAGTCTAGGTCAAAGCCAGCTTTATAAAATGCTGCGAGAAGTGGTAGGGCAGGCATAAGGACAAACGTGGAGATCGGTGCAACAGGACCGAGAGTCCAGAAGCAAACCCTCACACCTACAGTCCACTGATCTTTGACGTGAGTGCCAGGGAAAGAACACAAACGGTGCTGGGACAACTGGAAACACACATGCAAAGACTGAAGATGGACTTTTAACTCATGTCACATACAAAAATTAACTCCAAATAGACCTAACTTCAAGAGCTGAGACAACAAATCTCTTAGAAGGAAACATAGGTATAAACCATCATGACTTTGGGTCAGGCAATGACTTCTTGCACATGACACCAAAAGCACTAGAAACAGAAGAAGAAAAGAAATTGTACTTCATCAAATGAAAAACTTTTGTGCTTCAAAGAATACCATCTAGAAAGTGAAAAGATAACCTACAGAATGGAAGACAATATTTGCAAATGATGTTTCTTATAAGGAACTTACATCTAGCATATATAAAGAACTTACAACTCAATAGTAGAAGACTTTTAAATGGGCAAAAGATCTGAATAAACATTCTCCAAAGACACACACAAGTGACCAAGAAGCATGTGAGAAGATGCGCACTAGCCATCCGAGAAATGCACATCAACACTGCAAGGAGATGCCCCTTCAAACTCCCTGGGCTGGCTCTGATCGAAAAGACAGTGAATAGCAAGTGCTGACAAGAATGTGGAGAGACTGGAACCTCGCACACGGCTGCCGGGGAGGGAAGGCAGGTCAGCCACTTTGGAAACCAGTCTGGGTGTTCCTCCAAAAGTCAAACACGGGGTTCTCATGCAACACAGTAAATTCCACGCCCAGGAATGTACCCAAAAGAACTGCAGACATATTCTAGACAAAAACATGTACACAAATGCTCATGGCAAAGTGGAAACAACCCAAACGTTCATCAACTGGTGAATAAATGTGAAATATGTGTACAATGGGACATTATTGAGCAATAAAAAGAAATGAAGTGCTGACATGTGCTACAACATAGATGAACTTTGAAAAACATTATGTTGCTCTGACTGGTGTGGCTCAGTTGGCTGGGTGTCGTTCCGCCAAGTGAAAAGCCGCGGGTTCAATTCCCCGTCAGGGCGCATGCCTGGGTTTCAGGTTCTGTCCCGAGTCGGGGCATGTGTGAGAGGCCATCAATCGATGTTTTTCTCCTCTTTCTCCCTCCCTTCCTCTCTGTCTAAAAATAACTTTAAATAGAAAAATAAAAGTAAAATAGCATGCTAAGTGAAAAAAGCCATTTGCAAAAGGCCACATGTTGTGTGATTCCACTTACATGGAATGTCCAGAACAGGCAAGTCCACAGAGACAGAAAGTAGATTGGCGAGGCCGGAGGGAAAAGCAGGGAAATGAGCAGTGACTGTGACCGGGCTTGGGGTTTCTTTCTGGAGTGATAAAAATGTTATAACATTGATTGTGATGATGGTTATTATACGACTGTGAATACACTAAAATCATTAACTGTACACTTTAAATGGGTAAATTGTATGGTATGTAAATTTTATTTCTCGATGAAGTTATTTTTTTTAAAGAAAGAAAAGCTGATACCATTCAGTGTTGATTTATTTGGCTGCAGAGTTCAATTTAAGGCTTAGAAGTAAATTACAACTCTAGGAGACAAAGGAAAGGAGGCAAAATGGCTAAGGAGGTAACACAGAGCAGCGACCTGTTGAGCAGGCTGAGTCAAATGGAAAACAGTGGTTGTGATTTGTCCTATTCTGGCCTCTCCTTTTCAGAGAAAAACATTAGCCAGACCCATAAATATTCAGAATCAGCTGATCAAATAACAGGAAAGTTGAACCACAGAATTTCCTGGGATGAAAAGTGAAAACTTTCCTACAGAATTGTAGCCTAGAAGGGAGACCATAAATATGAGTATGCTATAAGAAATGATACATAGTAAAGAGATTTCAACTCCAAATGTTGAAAGGGCAAAGACAAAAAAACATTACATTTTTTTGGTTTAGCTAACATTTATTGATCCTCTTCTGTAAGTCAGGTTCTGTTCTGAGTGATTTACATAGATCCTCTCATTGAATTTTCCTGACAGCCATGTAAGGAAGGCACTGTTATTATCTCCATGTTACCGATGAGAGCCAGGGTTAAGTAACTTGCTCAAGTTCGCACAGTAAATAGTGGGGAGTCAGACTTTGGATCCAGTACTGGGGCCCTAAAAGCAGCACACTTAACCCCTCCCACCATAGCTGAAGGTTCGGCGAGCAGCAAGTCCTTGTGGAAGTACGTCTTCTACGTAGGTGAAGCTTCTGGTGTAGATTCAGACGTGGTTGTCCATTGAGGCCAGAGGGTAAGGCTTTCAGGTGAGGTCTCTGAAAGGGGTCCTGCACAGAAAATTTCCAGAGGTAGGAAGGCACACCCACCTCCCTCTGGGCCTCGGGCTCTCAGGGTGCCCCCGGGAGAAAGAGAGTCAAAGAGTAGACAGTATTGGAGCCGTTCATGTGTTTTGGAACCAGCAGACACGGGTTTGGGTCCTAATTCCGAAACCTACCAACTGCGTAATTTAGGAGAAGTTACTTGACTTCTCCAAAACATCAATTTCCTCATTTGAAATGTGAGAATGGTAATAGTCCCAGCTTCATTGGTGGTTGTAAGAATTACATAAAACAATGCAAGTGAAACCCTTAGCATGGTCCTTAGCAAACAGCAAGCCCTCAGTAAGCACTAGCTATTATTACATAGCTTTAGTTTATCCTCCAAATAGAGTTGGGCCGGGAGCAAGGTCATTATTGACCCTGTGAGCCCAGAGAGAGAGCAACACTTTGTAATCCAAATTCTTATCTCGAGTTTCAGTGTCTCCTCTAATTCCAGTCTGGTCCTTACAACTCAGTTTCACATCATCTCAATCTGGTACTTAATAGGAACTTCAGACTTGCATTTCCCAGATGGAACTCTGTATTTCCCCCCAACTCTGTTCTTTAGTGCTCTCCATCCCAGTAAATGGCACTACCATCCATTCAATGCTCAGTCCAAAACCACTGAGGAAAAGTATGCTTTTTCTTCCACTCAGCACATCCAATTCATTAGCCAATCCTGCAGGCTCTACTTTTAAAATTCATCCTGAATCTGATCATCTTACCACTTCCACTGCTACGTGCTGGTCTCAGCCTTTGGGAGGGCCTCCTGTGTCCCCAGCCCTGCACACAGCCTACTCTCTGCACCACGCCAGTCTCCATCTACGTGTAAATCAGCTCCTGACACTCTCCTGCTCCAGATGTTTCCTTATATTCAGCATAAAACCCAAACACCTACCACCGCCTCTAAGACCAAGGCCAACTCCCAGACCTTACCTCCCTCCACAGCAGCCATTCCGGCCTCCTTGCTGTCCCTTAAGCCTGTCCCTGTAACAAGGGTTTTGTGTTTGCTGTTCCCTCTGCCTAGGACACTTCCCCTCACATACTTCATGCCTGGCTCCCTCACTTCCAGCGTCCACTCAGATGCCACCTCCCCAAGAGATATCACCTTCTCTGAATGGTCCTCTAAAATCTTCTCCATCACTCAGTGGCTTCTAATCCTGCTTGAGTCCGGTCTGACCACACTGTTTCTCGGTTCATTTGCTGTGCTGTCTGTCTCCCTCCTTGACTTTGACATCTGTGAGGGTAGCCTCATCGTCTGTCCTGCTCTCTGCTCCAGCACCAATGGCTGGAGCCGAGCCTGCCACAGGGCAGGTGTCCAATAAGTATTGTTCCAACGAAATTGGTCTGTGAAAAGTTTTATTTGATTGCATATTTATTTCATCTTTTCTTCCTTCTTGCTTTCAGTAGTATTGTTGTTGGGACCTGCCCATTCATGTTTTGTCTCAGGGAATGTTTTACTTGAGGGAAAGGCTACATACTGTCCGCATTTCGGCCAGAACATGGAAGAAGACGTGGCACTCCCTGAAGCCAGCGCAGTGGCTGCAGCGGTGATGAGCAAGAAGTCATCCAGGGAGAGGTGAATGTAAGGGCAGGAAGTTGGGCCCTGAGGGGCAGCCACCCCTCTGTCACCGAGCCCCACGTGATCATTCTCTCTGCTGCCAACTACAGCTTGCTCTGAGGAAAACTAAGTTGGCTATGGATTTCATCACCCTTAACATTTCAAGTAGTAACCATTATTCTTTCCTGTTTTCCCTTGTCATCTTATCATAATCAGGAGAAGCTCAGAGATCAGCGGGAGTGGGCTTAGGTCATACGTCTGGTTGGCCAGAGGATCACTGCAATCTAAGGCACAGCTTGTCCTCCTTGACTGAGCATTCGATTCACCCGGGGAGCTTGTAAAATGCCTGATGCCCAGGCCACACCTCATGCCCATTAAATCAGAATCTCTCAAAGCAGGGCCCAGGCATCTGTAATTCTTAAAAATCCACAGGTAATTCTCAAAGGCATCCCAGCTTAAGGGAGTGGAGTGAAGTCTCTCACACTTTAATGCGCACACAAACCCTGTGGGGTGTGTGTAAAAAGGTACAAGATCGTGATTCCAGTGTCGTGGACAGGGATTCTGCACACCTGACCGGCTGCTGAGTGATGCTGAGACTCCTAGCCCATGGGCCACAGTTTGAGTGGCAAGTATGAGGTCAAATAGTGACCTTGAGTCAGGTTCATAATTTTCAGAGCTAATGTTTGGTAATCTGGACATTACTGATCCAAGTGTTCTGCTAATTTCTGGGCATCCCAGCCACTTAGCAGCCATTGTTCCATCCACTCTTTCCCCTGCCTGCCAGGCCCTTGCTGGACACACAGAGGTCTCACCTCTGGAACTATCCTGTGGTTGATGCTGTCTCCAATGTTTTTCAGCTGCACAGCCAACTTGTGGATTATTTCCTCCTGGTGACGGTTCTGGCTGATGCTGTTTTCCTTGGGCTCAGAGGGAGAGTTGTGATCTGCATTAAAAGAGTTTAAGAGAGATACTCCATTAACCATCTGTGAAGTTACCCACCACTAGTTACTAAAATCTGTCTTAGACAATGAGAGGATGAAAACCCCTCATCATAATGGCTATCAAAAAAAAAAAAAAAAAAAGCCAGCCCTGGCTGGCATAGCTCAGTGGATTGAGCGCGGGCTGCGAACCAAAGTGTCGCAGGGTCGATTCCCAGTCAGGGCACATGCCTGGGTTGCAGGCCATGGTCCCCGGCAACCATACATTGATGATCTCTCTCTCTCTCTCTCTCTCTCCCTCTCTCTCTCTCTCTCCCTCCCTTCCCTCTCTAAAGAATAAATTAAAAATCTTTTAAAAAAAAAAGCCTTGCTTTGGAATAGGTCAGTTCTGTTCAATGGAAATATAGTTCAAGCTACACACTAATTTTTAATATTCTAGCAGTACGATCAGATCAAATTAATTAGTAATATATTTAACTTAAGCCAACATATCCAAAGTATTATCATTACAACTTGTAATCAACAGAAAATTATAAATTATATGTTTTGCATCCTTTTTATTATACCTAAGTCTTCAAAATCTAATGTTAAGTTAGTCTTATGGTCCATCTCAATTCAGAAGCTAACTTTTCATTGGAAAACATTGACCTGTATTTAGATTTCACAAAGTTTACATTTTAAAAAGTAGATTCATATTCAAGTTTTTCCAAATGTACTTGAAAGTTTTCCAACAACTAAACTAAGTATCTGTTTTTAAAGTTAATTAAAATTCAATAAAACTTGAAGTTTAGCTCTTTAATTGCGTGGGCTGTACTTCAGGTGCTCAGAAACCGGCTGTGACCGCCAGTCACTGTGTGGTATGGGTCTGGATCTCTGCAGCTTTTTAAAGCCAGTTTTTCCATTTTTTGAACCCACTATCCTTGAACGAGTTTTTCCGAATGCTATTTGCTTCCAGCAACCAATGAGTGTTTTTAAGCAACACTATGAGTAAACTGCTGTTCTGGGTGCTTTGGGGAACTTATAAAAAGTAAAAAGACACGGTTCCTGTCCTTAAGTTGCTCACAGTACACTGGGCAGGGATGAAACAATGATGCCCAGGTGCTTTAGGAATTCAGAGAAGGAAATAAATTTGGGCTAAAGTAGACACACATAGGGCTTCATAAATACAGCAAGTTTTGCTTTGAACCTATTTGGTTCCAATAAAATTTGAGGACTTTGATTTTTCAGGTTTTGTGCACAGAAAACAAGCCCTGTCTTTGAAGAGGCTGCTGGAGAGAGACAAAATACAATCTGACGTGTTACAGAAGGACAGGGCCTGCGGGGAGGCCAGGGAAGACACCCCAGTGGAGAGGACAGTGCAAGCCCGTCCGGAAGGATGAAGGATAAGTAAGAGTCAGCCAGGAGAGGAAGACCGAGTTGGGGGCCAGAGCCGGCTTGGAGCGGGTGGCAAACAGAACTCTCCAGGCAGAAGGATCACGTGAGCAAAGGCATGGGGGTGGCTGAGAGGTTGTGTGCACAGGCTCTAGGCGGTGCTGAAAAGCAGGCAGTAATGGGAAAACCAACAGAGCAGGCAAGAGCAAAGTCATGAAGGCACAGCAAGAGGCCTGGACTTCACCCAGCAGAGCAGGAGACCCAGTAAAGGGTTTTAAGAAGGAAATGGTGTGGTCAGATTTGCTTTCTGGCTGTTTCCTTCGGGGATCAGAGTAGAGAATGGTAAGACAGGCAAGAAAATGTTTAGAAGCTACCTCGAAGTCCTGGGGAGGGATGATAAGGAGCTGCCTGTCGATAACTAACATGCTTACCACACAACAGGCCATACATGCATTATTTTACTGACTACTCCCTCACAATGACCCCCATGAGGTCATTTTACCTCCATATTACAGATGAGAGAGCTGGGGTTTAGAAAGTACTTTTCAGTCTTGGCTCCACCTTAGAGTCCTTGGCAGGACTGCGGGTGGGGTGCTTTTAAAACTCCCCATGCACAAGCCTCGCCCCATTCCAAAGAAATCATTTTCCTGGGAGTTGGACCAAGCATCAGTACTTTATTTTTTAAAGCTCCCCAGGTGGTTCCCATTTGCAGCAAGTTTAAAGACAGTGGTTTATAAAATGGCTGAGTGGCTTGCCTAGGGATTGAAAGTCAATGAGTGTGAGAGGCAGGACTTAAACCCAGGTCTGAACTAAAGCTGTCCTAACAGGGGTGGAGTGGTGAGAACAGATTCTATAAATATTTAGGAGCAGAATGTACTGGAATTCGGTAATAGATTAGATGAGAAAGCTGAGGGAAAGGGAAACTCCTGCTTTTCCAGCCCCTCAGACTGGAAGGGCGAAGGCACCATCAGCCCGTGCAGAGAACAGGGGTCGGGAAAGGACAGGCGTGGCAGGCAGTGGAGATGGGTTGAAAGAGAAAAAACAAAATTTGAGTTCACTCATAAATTTAAGGTACCTATGGAACATCTTAGCAAGCATCTGGGTAATACTTGGAACTCGGGATGTCAGAATCTAAAGATCGAAAAGTCATTATTCATTTGTTCACTCAATAAAAATACAGGAAAGTGGATGAGATATTTCAGTTTGTACAGCTGAAGACAGAACCTCTGGATAAAGTGACTGTAAACAAGGTAGGCAAGGAACAAACACCCACAAAAATGACTGAGAGTAGAAAGATAAAAGTGGAATCAGGAAAAATGCTGTTTCCTAACCATCTTTCAAATCTTGTTGAAAATTTTCTTCTAAAATATGTAACCCTAGTGGACATTGTTACTTGGTTAACTACAGTATACAGGATATAACTCTGTGAGCGTGTGCTGCTGCTGCTGATCCAGAATCCTGCAACACACCTGAGGATCCCTGTATGGAAGATGCCAGCGATTGTCTGACTTGCCCACACCGCTTTCCACAAGAACCTGACCTGTTGCCTAAGCAATCCGGTTCTTTCCTACATGGCCCCGCCCCACCCCCAGGCCACAGCTGAGTGGATCAGAGGTGGACACCTGACCCAAGAACCAATAACCGCTTGGCTGGCTGGGTACTCAGAACCTACAGTCAAGACTGGACAGAGTCCCTTTCTCTCTGTTCAATGTCAGCTTCCTCTCAGTTCAGTGAAGACTCAGGAAACTGAGAGAAGAGTTAACAGTGGGAGTAGGAATGCCACAGAATTATGTTGGGCTCAAAATAAGTCAAAGTCATTTGCAAGTGAAAATTATGAAGGGGAAGGAAACAGTTAAAGGAGAGGCAGGGGAAGCTGGCTGATAGAGAAGAACGGAGCAAGATGCTCAGAAACCGAGACTTGAGGGGAAAAAAAAAGGAGGGAGGGTGGTTAGCCCTCACAGCAGCCTTGGAACCTGAACCCTCCAAGTTCAGTTCTTTTTCATAAGCATCCTCACCAGAAACTACAGTTTTCTGGAGTTAACTAGAATAGGTTTCTCTTCCCTGCAACCAAGCAAATAATCATAAATGCTACATTAGCTATCTGTGTCCGGAACTGTCCATGTCAATAAAATTGTGTAGGAGATTGTGTTGGCTATAAGTCAACTTCAGGAGAGGCTCTGAAAGTGAAATTTAAAAATTAAGTTCCTGCCCCAACTCATGTGGCTCAGTAGATTGGGCATTGTCCCACAAACTGAAAGGTTGCCGGTTCAATTCCCAGTTAGGGCACATGTTTGGCTTATGGACCAGGTCTGCAATTGAAATGTGAGAGGCAACCAATTGATGTTGCTCTCATACACCAATGTTTCTCTTCCTCTCTCCTTTCTTTCCCCTCTCTCTAAAAAAATAAAAAATAAAAACAAAAATAAATAAATAAAGTCTTTTTAAAAAAATTAAGTTCCTGATACAACTGTTTTGTATTTTCGGTTCTGGTCATTAATCCATTCCTAGTAAAAGTTGAATGCAAAATGGATTGAGCTCTCCTGTGCTCAACCTATACATGGAACTCTTTGCTGACTAAAGAGGACTGGTGTATCTGTCCCACAGACATTCATACAATCAAATACCATATTTTGCCATGTACAATGTGCACCCACATTCTTGTGCATCATACATGGAATTATTATACCCATTGTGTGTAATCATTATTTCATACTGTGTATAATGCACATCCTTATTTTTTTCTCAAAATTTTGGGCAAAAAAGTGAGCATTCTGCACAGCAAAATATGGTAGCTATGCCACCATATTATAAGATAACAGGAAATAAATCATTAAATCAAAGATCTAAAGTGATAATATATTGAAGTGAGAAGTTTGTGATAAAATCATTAAAATGGGTAAAATAAAAAAACAAAACCCTATTACTTTCCAAGTATTGAATTTTTAATATACAAAGGAAAAAGTATCTCATTTTATACTGGAAAGTTGTCTGAATGTGTATATATCCATGCAGAGTTCTGAAACTCAAACCATAGTCTAAATGACCCAGTGGGGACCTTGGTCATCCTTCTATAATCTTGACTGCTCCCTAAAAATAAAGGTCTAGGGGCTTCTGGTTCAAGACTGAGCACAAGCATTGGCCTCTCTATTTCTCCTAATCCCTCCCTAACCCCACCAAATAGTAAAGTATAAAAAAGAATAAAACCACAACAATGCAGAGAATGGAAAGCAAGGTCAACAGCAGATGAGAGATCTGTACGTGTTTGTGAAAAGCACAACGGAGATGAGACAAGACATGTGCAGAGAAGCCAGGCAAAGCGCCCACCACTGAGGATGGACGCCCATAGACCCACTGAGACCCCAGGGCTGGGAGAGGAGACGCCACTGACTGGACATCTGATGGGGAATCAACTGCACCGCTTGGTGCCGCTGACATCGCCGCCCACTACACTCAGCACAGACATCAGGCAATGAATGAATCAATCATTAAAACCCAGACCACGGTTCTCTAATGGAAGACAACAAATCTTATGGAGGAAGCTAAAGCTTCTTTACGAAAGCTGGTGCCTCGGATTATACGTCTCTTTGTTCTGGTATCTGAGGAATCTGCCCCCGACCCCCCAAAGCTCGCTCCC